TGATAGGACATTGTGCTAAATCACTTCTCCTATGCAATAAAGTAACTGTAGGCGGCGGCAAAATAAAGACACCAGAATATGATAATCATAATATTAATTTTAATCTAATATAATCTAATGTAATTCTGCTGAACACTGTGCAACCCTAAAATAGTAGATATTGATAAATTATAAATTATTAGGTTGTATTTGCACTTTGGAAAACATCTATTTACAATATGACAACAAAATACAAAAAAAAAAAAAAAAGAAAATTCAAACCAATTTAATCTTTATAAAGTTTGAAGCAATATATTTTATTCTGGTGAAGTTTTAAAGTCCTTTATTGGACAAAGGACACAGTGGTGCACCTCTCAAATGTTTGCAGTAAAACTGTTTATGTGGAGACATGTTTAAAATTCTCTTCAGATAAATACAAACCTTGTCTTCTGAATCTTGATTTTTTTTTGCACAGTGACCGTACATACTGACATAAACCGCCACAAAGGTGTGATCAAAATCTAATGGCATCCCACTTCTTAAAGGCATATCAACTCACAAACCACAGCGTGGTCCAGATCTCCCACAGCCTTTTCATCAACAAACTCTCTCCCAGGGTGATACATATTTTGAGGGTCAAATGTAGTCCACGACATTGTAAACATGAAGAAATACAAAGTACTTGTGGAATAACATTTCACAGACAAAAAAAGTTGCTGGCATTTGTGTTATGTTGCATGATGATGTGAGTAATCCTCATCCTCGGCTCACTGGGCAACAAAAGAGAAGAGGTTAGCCTCCAGGGAATATACCAAAAAGGTAAAAGAAAAAAAAAAGAAGAAAAAAAAGTGGCCTGATCAAACTTGCTGGTTGAGAATCCCAGTGGCAGCAACAGTGTCAAAAGTGAGTGAAGGGACTGAGCAGACATAAATGGTCCATTAGGAGATGTCAATCAGTCATCCAGGGCCAACGACTGTATGAAGATTCCTGGGTGGCGTGGTCTTCAAGGCTCTGTGAAGGGAAGATTGGATTTGAATTAGTCTGGTAATTTCTGACTCAATGTAAAATTATAATAATGTTTGACAAACTGCAACAGAAAGTGTAAACAATGAAAAAGCAGCAGCAGACTCACGTCCACAACAGAGTCCAAAAACAACGGAATTACAAACTGGAGGTTGAGTAGCTCCCAAAGAGCTACGACAGAGGCAAAGTAAAGGTGAATTCCAGGAAAGTGGGAAGTCTAAAATGTCAAGTCAATGTCAACCTCCCACTAGGAAAAGTTCACAGCAAGGCCACTCAATGTCAGAGTATGATCGATCGATCTATCTCCACATCAGTGAGGTGTAGCAGCCTGACGTCGAAGAAGAACGGCAGCCGTGGAAAATGATAAATGCACGTAATGAGTTAAACAAATATTTGAAAATAAACATCTGAATAACCCCTTTATATAAACACATTTTAATCTGTATCCTTTCAAACAGTGTATATAGAGTGGGTGTGAAGATGAGTTAGCTTAGCTAGTACATTTTTGAAAACTGCACGAATGCAAATAAAGCAGACGACACACTGTGTTTTATCTCCTCCACTGTTTTCCCTCCTCTGTTATAATTATGTATGCAGAAAAAAAAGAGAATAACTAAACTTCTCAAGTCTTTCCTCAAAACAATCAAAATACTTTATTGTGTCTTAGCTAGCTTAGCTAGCATAGCTAGTATAGCTAGCTGAATTTAGAAAACTGCAAAAATGGAGGTAAAGGAGACGACTGCTGTGTCTTAGCTCTCTCTCTCTCTTTTTCCCCGTTTCAATTAGGTGTGAGATAAAACAAACAGTATCAGTCTAAGGTCCCAGACTGCTGGAATGTTCCTTTCCTATAAGTAACATATTTTTCATTTTGATTGACAGGTTATCATTACGTCCAGTTCATCAAACTGGTTGAAGACTCATGAAACATTGTGCAAAATGTTTATTAGAATTGGATAATGCAAAGAGAAGTTGAAAGGTGGATTGGTGCTTGTCAGGGATGGATGAAAAGACATTCAGATAGAAATGTGTGTTCTGTTTAGTTAAGTCTAGTTTTATCAAGTTGAGGGGGCAAACAGGAGGGTGTTTTTTAAAGTGCCCAGGATCCAGACTTTTATTAAACAAAAGAGCTAAAGTCAACACTGGTGTTAGTACGGGGGCCGCATCTGTAGAAATGCCAAGTGGGATCTGCTTACACGTGATGGTACCTTTCATACTTGATGAAATTTGAGACGGACTTATGATTTAGTCAAGATGTCTTTTCCCAGGCAGAGAATTCTTTACAGAGGCAACACCAAGTTATTGGCAAATGTGTGATTAGCGAACCGAATAGGTGCTAAGGATAATCATTTTAACATGTAGTTAAAAACTCACTTTTATCTCTAGCCCTGCTGCATCATTTCTTAGACGTCACTGTCTAACACAGTCCATGGCTGTGCCCCTGCCTCCAGGACCAGTGATCCTTCGAAACGTCACCTTGTACAACTTGGTACGACTCGTCAACTCACCTGGACGTACAGAAGCCCTGGCACTTGGAATCCTCTTGATGCAAACAAAAACAGCGATGATGATTCTCCCCTGAACCACCATCAGTTGTCTGTCCAAAGACTGCACGTCGGATTCTCTGCGGACCCCGGTAGCTTGACATTCCATAAGGCACAGTGCGTCTAAGACATGAAAAACAAACAGGAGGTGTTTTGGTTAGATCACCTTCTTGCCGACACAGGCAGGAATAACAAATACAGCAACCACCGTGTCCAACGCTTCCTAAACAACCGGTTTGTTTGAAAGATCCACCACCCATGTTTGCAGACAAATTCCACTCTAGGTTACAACTGGCACAGTGTGGTATGCACCTTTGACTGGCTTTTCCTTATAATATTTGTTTTTTGAAGTCAGTAGGTGGCGACGTCCCATCGCTTCTACTGATCTTTTGCCCCATACATCCTTATTTGATCTCTACAGCAGCTGTTGCTGTAGGTCCAGGGGGAGCGGTCTCAGACCGAAACTTTGTTTAAAATCACTGTTTTGGGAAAATCAAGTACTTGTTTTGTTACTTTGATACTGTGGTGAAAGGCTATTGTTTTGTCTTGTACAAATAAGCATTTTTAGCTTATCTGTGTACTTTAAGGTACTTTGTACTGCACTGCCTTTGACACTCTGTCCCCTAACTTTATTGCATATGTTTCTTTGCTGGCACTTTTGGCAAGGCAGTAGTAAGTATTTAGGGCAGCTTCAGAGGATTAAACGGTGGAAAGGATGAGTACTGAACAGAGTTGAGGCAGCAGCTGTAAAAGGCTCTGGAAGAGGGGAGTGAGATTTACCAGAAAAATGGGAAAATACAGCCAATGTAGAGACAAACTGGCAAAAACTGGATGTTTTTTTTCTGTGAAGAAAAGAAAGGTCAAGAAAGCTTTGATGGTGAAATGAGGACACAAGGGAGAGCAATCAATGAAGTATTTGGAAAAGGGTATGGGATAGTCAGTGAGTGGAAAAGAGAAGACTAGATTACAGTGAGGCTCAACTCATGACCACAAGAGCAGTAGACAAGGTGAACACAAATATGGCTTTGAGTTGTTCTAGTGGCAGCTCATCAGGGATTGCTGTGGATTAGGACTTGAATTTTGCTAGAGGGAGTTGGAGAAACACATGTGAATGAGCTTAATGTGGCACGGCAGAACATGCTGGCAATGCTGTTAGATGTGGGATTGGAACCTAGCATATCAGACTGAGCAGCTTTTTTGACATAGGGTGTTAGTGATGAAGCCTCCAGGCCAGGAAGAAAGAACAGAAGACGAAAGAAACGATTTATTGACATTTAAAAGTAAGACATGATGACGCCAGAGTGGGAGACAAGCGTAGGTGACTCTGTACATTACTCTGTCTATATGCCGATGAACTGTTGATTTATTCCAAATATTTTTCAACACAGGGAAAAACACTTTATTTTCCAAAACCCATTCTAAAACCAACAGAAATCCTGGAACACTAAC